ATTACACATAAATCCATTCATTGATGGCTGCTTTCTAGGCTTGAGAAATGCTTGGGACGTCTTGTATGTAATTGTTTTAAGTGTAAAATGTTGTCATTGTTTAAAGATCTATTGATTTATGTTTGGAAAAGGAATAAGTACAGTGTAGAAAAAAACCGTTTCCAATTTTTTGGGGCAGTAAAAATATTTCTCTAATAATCTGTAACGATCTGTTGCATTGTTCCTAGTGTGGAGAAACACAGAAAAAAAAAAAAACTCGTACGGAGTGCGCTCTTTTGAAGGGATAGCGACAAAATTATGGAACATTATGCCTCAATCTTTGAGGGGAATTGTAAATGACAATTAAAAACTTTTTTCTGTAAATAGATTTCGGAGGACCAGAGCGCAGTGAGCATGTTAAATGGCATGGATACCGGCGCGATATAAATACCAATCAATCAATCAATTGCAATTGATAACATTGCCTTCCTACGGAGGACTAAACTTTATGTAACTGCGGATATTATATTTAATTTTAATTACAAACCAGAGTTCCTCATTTGTGACTAATGTTTAAATATGACTACAAACCTGGATGAAAACATCAAGACAATATGTAGCCCACAGATTCTACCTTATCACGAATTCAGTAGAGTAACTGTGAGGGTTGTATGCTGGTAATATTTGAAAAAAATACGTGTCACACATTCATTCAACGTTAACAAAATGAAACTCTGGACATATTCGTAGCATCTTTATAGTGAGAGAAAGTTTGTCAAATTTGATTCTTACTCCAGTAACAAAGTAATCCTATCCATCGTGCGCGATACTAAATATTCAACACTAAATATTCACCACTTCACCGTCATCCACTTTAGTGGAGAATTCTAAATGTGAACAAATTGAAGCGATCAAAAGATAAGATCGGGCGGGTGGAATAAGGTCTCAATGCTCATCAGCGGCGCACACATTCTGAAATATTTCAACGTAACTTTCATTTGTTCTTTTTGTTTTGTGATTCCAATTTTGTTTTTTTTAAAAATGAAAGCAGTGCTGCCCAAGTAGAAATGTTGGACGCATTTTTATTTGATGATAATTTGCATTTTGCATTAAAGCAAAATAAATGCTATATAACTTGTGTTGCCTATTATAAAACCTCTTAAATCTTTCAATGAACGGACGTCCCACTTTTACTATAGATTTCTGCTGAGTTTGTTTGAGACAATTTTTTTCCCTCGAAATTTTGTTGTTTTTTTACATTTTATTTCATAAGATTTGACAATGTTAAAAGTCATGGCTAGAACTGTTCGCTTCATTATTTAAAAAAATGGGAGTTCAAGTTAATATTTCTATGATGTATAAACTTCTCCTTGAATTGTATCTAAAATTCGAATAACACTTTAATTTTTGGACATGTGTTGAATTTTAAAATATTTCATAACAAAAATGCAAGTTATGTCAAAAATTTTGGGGACACCTATAACAGCATAATAAGTTATTACTTTATCTTTTGTCTTTTATTTCGCATGACAAGTGACGCTTCTAGCACTCGGCTAGTAAATTAGAATCGATATGCATTTTATAATTGATGAATATAATTGCTTCAAATGTTTGAAGCATTTCCAGTGATAAAAAATTAAAACTACTCATTCAACAATCTTTGATGAATAAAACTGAAAGACTTTTTTCTTCTATAAAATGAGGACATCTACTGTATAGAAATTATCCCTTCAGCGACTTTTTTTTAAAGAGTTTTTTTTTTTTTACACATGGGTCATTTTCGCTCAGTTGATCATTCTCTCATGACATGGTGACCTGATGTCTTGATCGTTTCGTTGAAGTGGTGATCTGAAAGGTACTGATCGTCTCGTTCAAGTGGTGACCTAAAAGGTGATGATGATCTCGTGGAAGTGGTGACCTAAAAGGTATAGGTCACCTCGTTGAAGTGGTGACCTATATATTAAAGGTGTTGATCACCTCTTTGCAAATGAGTTGTGTCAACATCGCGTCTGCTCCTGGTTCGAAGGAGACGGGTGGACACGGGCATTGAAATTGTCATTTTTTACCGCGTCTGCTCAGGCCTCCCTTTTAAAATAATATGCCTATGTATTTAATTACGTCAAAGGGGACTTTAAACATTCAAGGTTGTATTTTTTTTTAATAATTCTACTTTTGTTAAAAATTTAAGAGTATCAAATAAAAATAATATTTTTTTTTAAATGCTATCAAAGACGAGTTAAAAAGAAAATATTTTTTTTAAAAAATTAATTAGAATAAAGTTTATTTAACATTTGTTCACATTCAATATAAATCCTTTTGCTAAATAGATTCATCTATATTTTTAGAGTCTTTTTTTTTTTTTTGGCTATATACAGTGGTATTCTATATTTCTACAGTCTTTCTTTGGCTATTTAGATTGGTTGATAAAGATTTGAATTTATATTTTTATTGCGTGTTGTTTGTAGAGTATTTGGTTAGATTTT